TGTATTAATATTTTTTTATATTTTTTTAAAAAATATTAAACAAAATTAATAATTGTTTAGTTTTCTTTTTTAGACAGGTTAGGTCAGGTCAAATGTATATTTAATTCAGATCAATTTTATGTCTGACCTAACCTGATCTTATCAGGTTAGGTCAAGTTAATTACCCAACCTGACCTGACCTGTTCAGAGCTTTAATAATAATAAATTAAATTAAATTTATAAAAATTTTATCAGATGTTGATTCGTCTTCTTTATTATTATCTTTATCTTGTTTAATTAATAAATAATATGGATCAAAATATAATAGAGTATTGTTAACCAAAAATAAGACTTTTTTATTTTTCATTTTAAAATAACTATCTAATTTGTGAAGTATTTTTTCAAAAATTATTGCATTTATCTATGCTTTTGAATTTTCACGATAATAAACTAAAAGCTATTCTAAAATAATTTTTAAAAGAGATCTTGAACATTTACATTACCAATTACCTATGATTTAAGTTTATCAATTCTTATTGCATTTATATTAAGAAGAATAATAATTTACATTTTATCCTTCTTCTCATTATAAACTGATTTTGTTGAAAGTGTTTTATTTGAAAATATTTGATAATAAAATCTTGTCTTACTAATATTATAAATTTTATCAAGAGTATACTAACTCAAAAGTTGACGAAGTTTAATTCTTTCTCTGTTAAAGATGCAATCAGTACACTTCTGAACTCTCTATATAGGAGGCGATCAGTAAAAAAAGGAAAATCCAAAATTTTTGTTAATTTTTATTATTAAGCATATAATCAAAATTAGCCAAGTGGTTTAATAATATAAATTTAGATTTCCCTCTTTTCTACTGACTGCCTTCCATATATTCAATATTGATGAATATTATTCTATTTTTTGAAACTATCTAATTAATCATTAAAGAATACTAATTAATCTTCTTATATATCAAATTCATTGGCAAAAAACTTGTCTTTTCTTTTATTAATAAATCTATTAAGATCATTTTACCTGCTGTTATATTTTCTACATACTAATTCATAACCTTATCAAGTATTAGAAACTTAACAATTCTATTTCTATAAATTTCTCTAGAATCTTTAATTCTTAATACAGTATTCTATTTTTCACTTTGTGCTAATAACTTTATAATAATACTAAGATTAATGCTTAAAATTGGATTTTTTTTTTCATTAAAATGATTTGTAATTTTATTATATTCTTTATTTTATTATTTACAAATCTGGTAATTGAGACTAATGCTAATTTTTAAATGTTTTTTTGGCTTTTTGGTTAGTTAAAAGACATCATAAACTTATTAAAAATTAGTTAAAAAAAATTAATATTTAGATTAAAATAGAGATAAAAAATATTAAAAAAATGCACTGAAAAAGATTTTTTAAAGGTTTAATAATGTTAGTAACCATTTAATATTGTTAACTAATTTATATTGGTAACTGTTTGATATAAAGTATGATATTAAACATCACTTTTTATTTTATAATATGAATAAAAAAATATTACTATGGAATGAAAATTTTCTTTCTTACATTTTAAAAGTGTTATATTTAAATCTAAATAATGTAATACTTTTTCTATTTTTAATATTAATAATCTAAATCTTTTTCTTTATCAAGCTTTTTTAAACTTCAATCAGCAATCAATCAGATTTTTTTAATATAAACCAATCAGAAACTTGTGACTATAAAGAGAACAATTTTCTATTAAAATGATATGTATATTAAGAATTACGTAGTGATAGTAACTATAATTAATTTGTGATTATAAAAAGATAATTTAATAAGCTTTAGTTTGTTTTACAAAAATATGTTTTTATATTAAGGTATAACTATATATAGTGTGATTATATACAAGTCTGATCATATTCTTTATATTTTTATACTTTAATATTATTTAAATGATAATATAATTATAAGAGAAAAACTATAATAGTTTAAGAATATTAAGATGATTTAATAAGTGAAAAAATTTGTTTATTACAATTTAAATTTTTTATTTATAAATTAAAAGAATAAATTATATACAAAATTTATAAAATTAATATTATCAATTCTAATAATTAACATATTTATTCAAAGTTAAGAATTAAAATAAAAGTAATTCTATTTATAATTTTTTATTTTTTAATAATATATAGTTAAGAATTCTGAATGAGTTATAAATTAAATAAGTATACTAGAAATAATAATTATAATATTCTTAAGAATTATTCTTTTTATCATTTTATTTTGCTATAAGGTAATATATTATTTTTTTTAAAATAATGTTTCTATCATTTTGATTTTACTATTATTCTAAAAAATAATACTTATATTATTTCTTTAAAAATAATGCCTTTTATCATTGTTTTATAAAATCTTTATTGGAATAATTTATCTACCATTTTAAAGAATAATATTTTATTATTTTAAAAAATAATATTTTTAGAATAATAAATATAATATTCATTCAACAATAAGATATGCATTAATCAATCAAAATTTGTCATCATTTTACGTCTTCTTTTTGTGTTCATATTGATATAATAGAAAATTTGTAAGACATTATTATTCCTTAAGGAGGTTGATTTTTCTTATTGGTCGGATATTTATAGTTACACCAAAATTAATTACTATATATAAAAAAGCAAATAATATGGGCAATTTTATTTCATTCTATCTCTTAGTAAATTGATTCTATCATTATCGAAAAGTTAACCAACGACATATAATAACAAGAGAAAGAAAAAAATGACCGAATTAATATATTTATTAACTTGAATGATATTCACCATTCTATTTTTAGTATATCATTTACGAATTTATTGCAGATTCGGACCATATGGAGGTATGAAAAAAGTGGTTAAAATATGCAATGTCGATCTGCAGTTCGTGTAAGTAATCAATTTTAATTTATTTAATTTAAATTGAGGGAATTATTTATATTTTGTGTTTACCAACAAAATTTTAATGACACACTAAATTTAGGGAGTCCATTTTAAAATGTATAAAAAAAGCCGAAATTTTTCGTAAAAACTTTTTTCTTTTTAACCAAAAAAAAAAAAAAAAAATGAAGGGCATCCAAATTATTTCATTTTTGTTCGCTTTTATCACAGTATTTGTATCAGGTAAAAAATCATTAATTATATATGTTATTTTAAATATCTAGTAAGTTATTAATTCGAATACAATTTTTATATTCAAATAAAAAGCCGAAATAAGTATCCAATATCCTTCAAAACTTTATTACTTGGTAGCGGGACAACAAAATGATGTTCTTTGGAAATGGGAAGCAGGCGATGCTGCAACATTTTCGATCTATTTAAGTAATCCGGTAACGTATATATAATGTTTAATAAACCTTTCATTAAAAATGTACCAATATAATTATATTAAATTTCTTAAAATAAATAGGCAATTGCTGATTTAAAAAATTTGGCACTTGCAAATAATGTTGGAACAAATCTCAATAAAACTAGTGTTAATTTGCCTGAAAGTCTTGCCAATACTGGTAATACTTTGTAGTTGTATTTCTCTCTTCCTCAATACTACTATATACTAATTTAAACTTTTTCTTTAAAAAATAGGGTTTCAAATATTTTTTACAGATATAGGAAATATTACAAAAGTTTATGCAACCTCGGAAGTTTTTGAAATAAAACCTCATGGTACTGAACCAATAGCATATGTTGCTCCAACTCCAACTCCTCCTCCTTCAGATAGTCCAAATTCTAAAGGTGGTGGTGATGCTTCCAAACAAAATTCATCAAATTCTATTCATGATTGTGGATTTGGTATTTTGGCTTTCATTACCCTAGTTACTATATTTTTATTTTAATTGACTACTAGACTTTACCTTATTTTATTAATTAGATAATAATATTAATGATAATTTAAGAATTAGTTTAATGAATTGAATTTAAAAAAAAGTAATTTTAATTTCTATATTATAATAAATTAAAAAACTATATAAAGTCCATCCGTATAATGTTTTAAATTTCAAATATTTAAATAATAAAAAAAAGTAATTTAAAGATTAAATTTCCTCTTTTAAATTGCTCTTCTCATTCAAGCAATTTCCACTTTATTATTAAATTAAATAATCAAACTACTAAAAGGTAACATCTTACCCATATAAGACTCACCTAAGAAAATTATTACAAATCTCAATCCTCACTTTTACTTGATTGATTTTCTTTAATTTTCATAGCTCCTTCTTGTTCTAACCATTTAGCATATTTTTCCAATCGTGCAGACTCTTCTTCTTCGGTCTCACCAGATTTCGCTCCAGTTTTTTGATATTTTTGTTTGCCATCGAATATTTCTGCTTCGATACGACGACCAGCAAAAAATCGCCCATTCATTTTCTAGCCATACAATCAAAGTTAATAAATGGTAAAAACCACATTTCAACGTCTAGCGCTTTAATACATACCACTACGCATGCCTCGGCACTCAGTTGATCCTTAAACTTTACCGAAACCACACCATCTGATTCTTTCTATTTTTAAAGTAGAATTTACTAGGTGTAGTTTTGAACTATATAAAATGAATTTAACAAAAACCTACATACGTCGTATAATATCACATTGGTAACTTCTCCTAATTTCTCACATTCATTTCGAATATCTTCTTTTAAGTCTAATATCAAACTAATATCATTCTTATAATAAATAATACCAATTAATATATATACACAAATTAAATTACATTAAATGAGTTCTCACCTCCAATTCATCTAACGTAAACATATTCTTCAAAATCACTATTTTACTATATCTCTCAACTTTTTTTCCAGGTTCGGATTCATACCAATCCAATTTCCTAATTATCAAAGTAAGATAGTTGATAAATAAAAATAACATAAAGTCCCTTTAAATAATAAAAAAAAATAATGACATACTTTTCGAGTTGTTGCAATTTCTTATGGACTTTTTTCTTGTCAACTTTAGTATTAGGATTATCATTTTGATTGGCATCTGATTTGGGTTCTTTCTCTTTGAATTGAGCCTACGACAAAGATATAAGGATAATTAATATTAAAGTAAAATAAAATATAAAGAAAAGTAATATACTACGTTACTTTTTGTACACGCATTATAGAAACTTCATCTGGACGAAGTTGTGTTTCATCCAGCAATTGACAAGCCAATGCAACAGATTCTTCTTTTAGATAAGTAACAAGCGCATCTCCCTTTAACCGATCCTTATCGTCTTTGTAAAGTTTTATTTTCGGTCCTCCTAAAAATAGGTAGAATTCTGAATTAATGAATTTGATCACAAAATCTTTTTTCAAATTTTTTTTAATTTAGTGGTAATCTTACCAGCAATTAAATCTTCCATCAAAACTCCGTACTTTGAAAATACTTCAGCCAATTCCTCGACAGCGACATCAGGTGGTAGTCCAGTCACATAAACTGAAGTATTTGCGGGTTTTTTCTTTTGATTATTTTGTTTTTGTTTTTTTGAATCTTGATCTGTCTTTAAACATGATATTACATAAGGTTAATTACATTGTATGATAAAGGAGTGTATATAATTAATATTGAAAATATTTACATTATCAGAAGTATAAACATTTTTCCGTTTGCCTCGCTTTAACGGTACAGCAGGTTCCTTTGGTGGCGAATATAAAAAGACAATATCTATGTGTGTTCCCGAAGAAAATTTCTAATGTTATAGTAATATGTTTATAATATCTTACACTTTCGTTAACACCAGGTACAGAATAAGCAGATTGTTGAAGTTTCAACAAAAGATCTTCTTCCTATACAGAATAAAAAAAGAATGAGTTTTTCGAAAAAGCTTATGTTATTACTTTAACTATTAAAACAAAGTTTTTTTTTTTTACGATTTGGGTCCATTGTTGTTGATCTTCATCAAATTGCAAAGTTACTCCGTCTTCACTTGTATAAGTCCATTTACCAATCGCTTCGATGTAGTGCATATTAGCATCTAAATGAAAATCAGAAGACAAAGAAGTTTTCTTTTCATTTTCTTGACCAGGATCGATATTTATTGTTGCTTTATCAGTAGACATTGTTATTTTGTAAGAAAGAGAGGTTCGAATCAGATTCAATGTATATTGTTTATTAAAATTCCTTGGGCCTTAACCCTAATTCTGGCCAACCCGATTGCCTTTTAATCGTTATCTATTTTTTAGAAATGATCGGCAAATTGTAAATTGTCTCAACACAAAATAAATCAGTATGTTACAAAATCTATTAAAGTCATTATATAAATGTAAAAAAATGTGTTTTCAGTCTGCATATGCATAAGCAAACCATTTCCATATCATTTGTGAAACTTGGTACAATTTAGATCTCTCTCTTCATTATTTTAAGAAAAGGGTTTTCCATTTCACGTTTTTATATAAGTTAACGCGTTAACTTAATGTCTGACCAAGGTAATCACAAACCTCCTCAAGGAGTGAAAACCTCCGACTACGGCACGATTAAATCCGAAATTATTGTAACGAGTGCTAAAGAATCTTTACAAGATTCAGTACAAGGTAGTCAAACTTTATTTTTTGAGTTATTGTTAAGGAAAATAAAATTTTATTAAAAATATCACTATAAAGTAGCGAAAAAAGTACCACAAATGTCTTCTACCTCCGAACCTTCAAATAAAGACGCGTCATTTGATACCCAAGAAGAAGTTGATTTGATGAATTTTGATGAGGATTGCTCAAATTTTGACTTGAATAATTATGCTACTAGAGAAGCGGATTGTAATGTACAACATATATCTACGATTGATCAACTCTTGTGTGATCTTGATTTTGGAAGAGAAGTTTTATTCGCCAAGTCTAATAATGTTCCAGAGGATGAACTAACGCATAACAAGCAAACTACATCAAAACCTTCGGAACAAGTAACTCATAAGGAAATTCCTTTAAAGGATAATAATAAAATTAGATCACCGTATAAACCTACAGTTATCCCGCCTGCATCATCTCTTATAAAAGAGGTACAACTTTCTTATCCTTCTCGTGCTACGAATGGAACACAACCGAAAGGTGCAATTCGTACTTATATAATGAAGGAGACACATACGGCCAGTTCATCTCGTGTTGATGAGGTAGTTACAAAATTAGCATCTCGTTCTTATTCCACGAAGGGAACTCAAACTGATGTATTAGTTCCGGCGACGGAAATGATGTATCAAAAACCAAGAAAGAGAATAATATACTCTTTTGTTGAATTGTTGATATATCAATTTTCACCTCTTACAAAGGAGTTGCATAATGTTGTGAACGAGAGATTCAGCAATGCTGTCATTGAATATGATTTGTTACAAGACAGTCCTCAAGCAAAAGACAATCAACCTCGGCACCCCGGTGTTCTACGAGGTACGATTATCCCCCCAAAACGATATGGACGATTTGGCCAAGCTTGGGATTCTAGGTATGAAAACGATAGATCTACAATTTCTCCCATAAGAAAACATTTTGAGAGTCCGTCGGAACTATCATTTCTTAAAGAATGCGTGGTTGCTCACAATAGATGGATCGCTTTGTTGCGTGAGAAGGAGTTGCGGTTAAGTTATATTAAGGATTATATAGAATGTAAGAATATGAAATGGATTAATACTCACATGAACCTCACTAATGAGCATTCTGAAAATTGTTTGACATATCATATGGTCAATGATCAACAAATTAAAGCAAATCCTCACGAAAAAGGTGTTCGTTTCGAAGAGAAAGATGGGCATTAAGTTTTAATTTCTTTTATAGGCGAGTGAGTTTTTTCTATTCAAAAAACGTTAAGCGGAAATTTTTTTTTTTTACGCAACCTTTATATATATTAGTCTATGTCGTCGATCTCTCTCTAAGTTTAAGTCTTTTTTTTCTCCATGCTTAAATCCTTTGTAATATATATTTGCATGGTTGTTATGTACAATATAAGCTAATTTTATGTATTTAGCATTTGGATCTTTTTTTTGTTTATAATAATAGTTCTTTGACTTTATAAAAATTAGATGACTTGTGTAAATAAATGAATATATATATAAGTGTAGCAATGATTATGTTACAAGGTATCTTTCAACTATTTGTTATTCAGATTTTTATATTTATATTTTCATAAAATATGCAATGTAAGTTTAAAGTAAACAAGTTTTATATATTTTTAAGTTATAAGAGGATTATTAACTTTAATTAAAGTAATATAACAAAACTAATAATCACTTTTAATTTGTACTTTAAATAGAAATTGTAATTAATTCTAAAAAATTTAAACTTTATAGTAAATCAATTTATAAAAATCAATTTTTAATGATTATATATAATTAAAGTTAATCATTATTAAACACTAATTTATAAACAGATTTATTATAAAATAATAAATTATTTTTAATGTTTATACATTTATTAAAGAAAAATTTATAATGAATAAAATAGTTAGTTATTATATTTTTTTTCAATTTACTATATATTTTTTTTATTTTAATAAATACATCTATATTTTGAGTTAATTAGATATAAAATTATTGATTAAATATTAAATTTAAATATTTTGTCAAATTAAAAATAATTTTTTTTTCAATTTAAAAATTTTAATTTTAATAATATTATATTATTTGTAAAATAGTTTTATAATAAGATTTTTATAAATTAAAATTTTTTAATTTACAGAATATATTATTTTATTATTATTATTATTTAATTAATTATATATTTCTAATAATATATTTTATAATTTGACTTTAATAGCTTAGCTTTATTTTATTATTATTTAATTAATTATATGGGAGCGTTTCCAGTAAAATCACATTACGGATCATATGATTTACTATGCCTCATGACTTGATTTTACTGGAAACGTTCCTATATATATCTAATAATGTATTTTTATATTTTGACTCTAAATGATTAACTATCATAACTATCAAAAATAAACTCTTAGATTATAATTATATATGAAGTCAAGATAAAAATCCAAAAGTTAAAATATTTAAACTTTAAAGTCAAAATCGAAATAAAAGTAAAAATAATTAAAATAATATTATATTATATGAATTTTTATATATATAAAAAATAAAAAATAAAAAATAAACAATTTTAGTTAATATTACTTTATTTCTCATAATATAATTATCATTAATTCCTCAAGAATTTAGCGATTCTGTCTTAATTAGTAATAACTAAGATTTTATTATAGTATTATATTGTAATAGGTTCTAATTTAGCTTCTAGCTAAGGCAGATCATAGTAAATTAAATCTATAGGATTTATTAGTTTAATTTTAGAAATAAATTTCATAAAAATTGTGAAAACCATATATGTAGTAAATTTAGCCATAAACAATTTTTGATAAAAGTAAAAATTAGGTAGTATATTTTTATAACTGGACAATATTTTTATCAAATTACTTTAACCTATTTCTAATATTTTAAAATATAGTCTAGTGCAAAAAGATATGTACCTTGCCAAAAAAGAAAAAGATTTACGTCAAAAATTATACTATATGACCAAACCAAAAATGGTCTAAATTTTATAAATTTTGCTGAATATAACCAATTGCAACTTTCCCACAAATTTTTTTTAGGTACTATGAGTACTTCTTCTTTAAAACAAAATGGTACACCGTTAATAAATAACGAAAAATCAATGATAATTAATGTATATAATTATTTCTCTGAGGCTAAATTGATAGGAACAGATCATCAAAGCCTCCCTTTACGCAAGCGTATTGCTGAGGTATTGGGAATAGCAGAAAGTTCAGTTGGAAAGGTGATATCTGATTAGAATAAGCATGGTGATAGTATATTTACACCACATGGAATTTTCGGAAGACCTAAATATAAACTCAATGAAAATGTTTCAGAACTTTTATGCACAAAAATATTGAACGCTAACAAAACGGCTAAGCAAATTTCAACTCCTATCCTTTGGCAATATCTATCTGAACATGGATATACATTTTTCAAATGGAAATTTCTTCGGGTATTGCACTCTTTGGGCTATTATTATAGACAAGGAGAATGAAGAAATATCCTTCATAAATCACCAAATAATGTTGCATTCTGTTGTTGGTACCTTCGCTTTCAGTTTACTAATTTGGAAAGAAATAATGATGTTCTACGTTGTTCAGAAGTTTTCCTTGATGAAACATATTGTCATTTGCATCATATTTCACATAATATACGGGTTCCACATCAAGGTGTTGTTTTAGTACCCAGACATGGTCCACTGGTAGTAATTTTTGAAGCAATAATTATATTCTGAAATGGATCTTCTAACAAGTTACATGATGAACTTGTTCCAAATTCTATCCATATTTGGGATCCAACAATTAAACCTTTAGGAAACAGGGGAAGAAGAAGAAATAATGCTGAGGAGTAGAATGACATTCCTGATGTTGTTAAAGGCGCAAATATAACTCCTAATCAAATTGATTATCATGGGAACTTCAATGCGAAAATATTTGAAGACCTTTTTAAAACTCTTTGTGAAATACTATATAAAAAGTATAGGCCAGTAAACATTCATATGGATGGGCAAGATATCATAAACGACAAGTTGAAAATATTCCAACTTCAAGCACAAAAAAACAAAAAATAATTGATTAGCTAATTACTCATAATATTGAATTTTCTGATAAGTTACGAAGGCCAGAACTTTTGGAGTTAGTCCAAATGAATAAGGAAAAGGTGCTATTTACTTGCGTCAAAATAGCAGAATGGTATAATCATCAAATTTTTTTACCCTCCTTATCATTGTGAACTTCAGCCAATTGAAAGTGTTTAGGCAATTGTAAAGGGTGAAATTGCAAGTTCAGGTTCACATCCAAACCTTTTATCTATTCGAAATACACTATTAGATGCATTTAAAGAAAAAATTAACTCAAAAGTTATAGTTGGTCTTTGGAGAAAAGCATTTAAATATGCCAAAGAATATCGTGAAATTGATGAGAATACGCAATTAATTGAAGAAAATTTTGATGACTATGGTGATTCTGATGATGATTAATGATTTTAATTTAATTTTTATATTTTTATATTTTCGAATATGTATTGATATGATATAAATAAAAAAATTAAATTTTATTTAATAAAAAATTTATTTTTAGCATTTTATTTGAGATACATATCTTTTTGTATCAGACTATACTATTATTTTATTTTACATAAAAATAATATAGGTAAAATAGAAATTAAAAAATCAATTGATAGAAATAAGAAAATTGTAAATATTATAAAATCAAAAAATATTAATATTACAGGATTTTTACAAGAAATTTTTTTTTCAGAATTATCAGATGAAAGAAAATGGTATTTATATGAATAAGTGAGTTAACATATTGAAGATTCTCAAAAATAAGTAAGACAAATACTATTCAATATTAGATGTTTTAAAACCAAAAGCTAAATAATTAGTTTATAATATTTGTTATTTATTTTTTTCTAATAAATATGTAGAAGTGAGGCATTTTATTATTTATTATATAATTATATTTTTTTTAAATAAATAAAGTTTGTTATTTAGAATAATAAGGATAATTTATTAAATTAATACATCTATTTCTAAAAAGAAATTAATTGTTTTTAAAAATAAAAAAAAAGTATTTCTTAGATTTTAAAAGTATTATAAGTTATCTTATGTCAAGTTCTGAAATCATTCTTATAAAAAAAAGAAAGAAACAGTATAAATTCCATTTCTAAAAGCAAAAAAACACTGAAAGTAAATGTTTACCTTAATTTTCAAAAGAAGCTTATTTCAAATCAAAGAAATTATCCTTACAAAAAAGAAAAAAATAGAGTTAATATTATTTCTAAAAAAAATTATCAAAAAGATAATATCTATTTTGATTGTTATATCTTTCTCCAAATTAAACTACTTAAAAAATTACTAAATCAACCAAAAAAGTATTATGAAAATTAAAAACTGAAAAGTAATTGAAATCCTAACCATAATTTTATTAAAAATTATAAAGAAATTATCAATAAATAATTTCTTATTACAAAAAATATATTTATGTGTTACTTAATAATCTAACAATCCTAAAAAAAGTTAAAAGAATATAAAATTGAATTTTTAAAACTTCAAAACAAAATTGATTTTTACCTTAACTCATTATTCATACTACTTTTAACTTAAAAGAATTTTGAGAATCAATATTAAAATACATTAAAAATATTAATTATAAGATTCAAATTATCTTAACAGAATTAAATAATACTCATTATGTAAAAAATAAAATTATCTTACAAAAAGAAAAAGAGGCAATTATGCAAAATAATACTAATTTACTGATTAACCTTCATAAAGAAAAAGAACCAGTTTCTTGCTAAATAGGAAGAAGAGGCAATTTGATAACTCCTTAATATCAAAAAAATCTTAACAAAATCTACTGTTATTTTTGTGATAAAAATATTAGTCAGGTTTTCACTTATAAATAAAAAAAGACCAAAAAGTTACCAGAATAGTTATCACATCAGCAATATACATATAATGATATTCATTATTTAAGATTAAACATAGGACATTTTGAAATATATTTCAATGTTTATGTTCCAAAATGTTTTAATTTAATAAAATGTCAAAAGACATGTCTCACAAATTTTTATTTCAGATATGTTTCACTTATGTTCTAACCAATTAACTTTTATGATTTGTAAAAAATTTTCTTTCATATCTTTTTTTTCTTTTTTTCTTAATTTCAATTATAATTGTATATACAAATTTCAAATGCCTCTTTTATCAATAATATTAG